TCTTCTTCTTCTTCTTCTTCTTCTTCTTCTTCTTCTTCTTCTTCTTCTTCTTCTTCTTCTTCTTCTTTTTCTTCCTTCTTCTCCTTCTTCTTCTCCTCCTCCTCCTCCTCCTCCTCCTTCTCCTTCGTCTTCTTCCTCCTCCTCCTCTTCCTCCTCTTCCTTCTCCTCCTCCTCCTTTTCCTCTTTCTCCTTCTCTTCTTTCTTCTTCTTCTTCTTCTTCTTCTTCTTCTTCTTCTTCTTCTTCTTCTTCTTCTTCTTCTTCTTCTTCTTCTTCTTCTTCAACAATGATATCTTTATTTCAGCCTGGGTACAACCTGGTCAAGAGTGAGAAGGCTATTGACCATCAACAAAGGAAGAGACCTAGTTTTAGATACTAACCTAAGCATGGGAGATGTTTCACTGAGGAACATGGAAAGTTTTAAGTTTCTCAAGAGTCATGGGTAGGACTGGCACCTTTTTTGAGGGAGGTAAATACAGGATGACAATAGCATTTTCCTGATTTATACAGTGGCATCCTATAATGGGAAGCACTATAGGATGGGGGAAGTGCAGGGTGACAGTAGGTAACTTGTAGGGTGGCATTCTATAGAATTACAGGGTTTCCTATAAGCCTGTGAACCAGGCTTGGGACCCATCTGATAAATTTTAGTCTCTCAGGCTTAGTGAGGGGGATTTCATGTTGAACAGACTGGTCTGTCCACATTTATTTTCTCTTCAGGTTGGGGAGGGGTCTAATTGTAAGGACCTAACAAATAGGATGTGCAATTGCTAATAGGATATGTAATCACTGTGCGGGGTTCAAATTAAATAAGAGGCAGAGAACAGAACAGATTAAAATTTAGAGGGCTATTTATTAGCTGGGCCAACTGATTAACTGCACTCCACGCAGGGAGGCCCTAACCAGCAGGGAAGCAAGGTTGGGCTGGTCTTTTAAAGTGAACTACATTCTGGTCTGCAGATAAGGTTGGGGGGGGGGCGTCTGTGAAGTTCTGAGAGAGGAAGAACTTAATCTTATGGGACTTGACAGAACAAACACTCTTGGCTGCAGAATTTGGATGTTTGTGTGTAAAACAATCAAGGTCGAGGTAATCTTATGGCTTTAGTAATTTTTCAAAGTCCTAGAATATTTTTAACTGTTGAATTAGATTAGGGAGGGGAGGGAGACAGTTACCCAGTTACTCGTTACTAAACAGCCTCGAACAGAGGATGAGAACACATTCTTTAGCGTAGATAGCAGGAAGCATAAGGGAACCTAATTGTTTTCCATAGTTACAGGACAAAATTCTGTTAACCCATTACAATCACCACCCATTTCCAAGTGGCAGACCCTTAGACATTTTAAGGATGACTTTTTCCAAGTTGCCACTGTCATTTCTCTGTGGTCTTGGCTACTTTAAGCCACCACCAGGCAAGGCCTGGATTTGTGTGGCAGTAAAGAATTGCTCAAAGACTTGAAACCACTACTTTTTTTTTTTTTTTTTTTCGGTACTGGGGATCAAACTCTGGACCTTGTGCTTGCCAGGCAGATGCTTATGCTACTGAGCTATCTCCCTGGCCAAAAGCACTACTTTCTTTTCCTGCAACATCCCACGTGTGTAGAACAAGTATGGGAGGTTCTTTCCACCATTTTCAAATCCTATCTGGGTTCTGTGAAAGGCATCATGGG